AAAATATAAAAATAACAAACCGTTGAAGGATCTCTTCGATATTCTGATGTATGATTAAAATTTTCTCTATTGTTATCATTTGAACAATATGCAACATGATCTTCATAATCAGATTGATAAATATCTTTTGAACATAAAATACAATGTTTAGTTCGTTTTTTCTTTAAAATGTTTTCTTCTTTTAAAGAATAATTCTCGATCTAAAAATTTATAAATAAATAATAAATAATAAATAAAAAATAATTTACTTGTGACGACGAGTTATTTTCATTTGATTTTTTATTATGATTATCTATTAAGAATTGATTATCTGAACGGTCTTCATCAGTTGAACAAGATACAAGATGATCTTCATATTCTGATTGATCAATATCTTTTGAACACAAAATACAATATTTTGTTTGTTTTTTATTTGGAACAATTTTTTCATCATTTCTTTTCTAATTATTTAGAGGAGAAACAAATTGGAAAAAAAAATAACAAACTATAAATGAAAATATTACTTCTGTTGAAGTATTTCTTGTTGGAACGTCTTGATCATTTCGACAATAATCATCAGCCGAACAAGATGATATATGATTTTCATAATCTGATTGATCAATATCTTTTGAACACAAAATACAAAGTTTTTTTTTCTCTTTTTTTAAAGAAATTATATCTTCTGGGGTGTCTGCTATAGTCTATTATATATTATTCATATATTAATTCATTTAAGGAAAAAAAATGAAATAAAACCTGTGTTGGTGTTGATGCTCTTGGTGTTGAATATCCGGTATTATCACATGATGGACAATATGAAGTTAACTCGTCGAGAATATTTCCACAAGTAAGACATTTTTTTTCGCTTGATAATATATCTTTCTGTTGATTACAGGTTTCAACGTGTTGTTGATGTTGTTGAATAGGTATTTGTTGGTTACAAAAGGTGCATAATTTATAGTCAGTTAATGATCCTGACCGACAACTCAGTATATGATTATGAATTTCTTTTTGTGCTACAAGACTGCGACATATTATACATTGACTATATCCGGGAAAATGACTTCTTTGCATGAATAGTTATTTAAAATAATTGAAAGTTAAAATTGTTTGAATTTAAAAAAAATTATTTTGAAAAACTAAAAACAGCGATAATAATATTGACTTTCTTATTTTGATTTCAAAAAAGTGATGTAAGTTGGAAGAAAGTCGATCAATGAATGAATGAATGATGAATATCTCAATATTCACTGGTTCTCGTTGATAACAAACGAACTCTTTTTTCTATCGAAGATGTCGCATGTTTATTAGAACTTTTTAAAAATAAATTTTATTTAATTTAGTTTATATTCATATTGTATTCAACTAAAAGAAAGAATATCAGTTTTTCAAAAAGAAAATATTCATCGAAGAATTAAATTGTAAATAAAGATTATCCATATTAATTAGACTCGATATCAAAATTTGTTTTTTCTCGGATCTTAATTTGACTCTCCCGAAATATATATATATATACAGTGAGTACCAAAATTGACCAACAAGCAGAATGAACTTTTTTGGTGAGTTCATATTTCAACAACTGTATGAGTTGTAATGATCTAGTTTCATCCATACTGTAGCCCATATCACCTATTATATACACAGAAAATTTCA